GCGTGAAAGGTCTCGGATCAATTTCGAACCAATTTTTGAGTTTTCAAGGCGAATTGATCAAAAATTGCCACAAAAATTGATCAAAAAACCGGTTCCTTTTAAAACAAAACTACTACACTTGAGATTATTCGCTGTCAATCACTTACACTACCCTGCCCTCCTCATAAAAAAATTTCAGCAAATTTGTCAATAGCAGTAGAAAAACAATTAAACTGTGCATTTAAAATTTGCTGATTTTGTTCAAAACTCGATTTATTTTCCGATGTTAATTTAAAACGCAATGTATTACCAGTACCATTGTTTCTCGACTGGAAAATAATTTGCCATTTCCGGAGATTAAAACACTTCTGAATACCACCGATCGTAAATTCGCAAAATGAAAACAATCAAATAATTGTGAACACAAGAAAAACAATTGTAATTTGTCGAAAGTTTTAATGGACCGTATATTGAAAGCTCTTTTTTTTTAAAAAAAAATAGTAACAATTAGGCTCAGGTTACAAGATGACAAAATCAATTAATAGAATATCCTTGCTTACAGAAAAAGAGAAGCAGTTTATAAAATTTAAAACCTACGTTTATTTCAAGGAGAACCAACAGTGGCAGCCATTCAATAGAAAAATTTGATCGAATGATTTCAAATTTCTTTCGTGAAGTTTTTTTAGTTTGTGATACTAATCTATTTTTCAAAAAAATCATTGTAACCGAGGTTACACTCAAGAGTCCCTTCATCACGTATTCCAGTCAAAATCCTTGGAATTTTCTAGATATGGAAGTGATAATGATAAAAGAAGATGGCAAGAGATGAATTGTTTTTCAATTAAAATTGATACAGGTTACGTTTCTTCAATAAGAACACGCAATTCGACACGAGAAATTATATTATACAAGAGCTACAAATAAAAAAAGTTCGTCGAAAGTTCTTTTGTCATTTATTTTTCCGAGTATGCAAGCGGCGTTCGCAATCTGTATTGAAAGGGAGATTCTCTGTTTTAAAAATCTGCCTGCTCTGGGTTCCTCAGTGCATATGCTTAGGTTCTCACAAAACTTGATCGAAAAAATTTCTATGCTGGAGCCGGTCAGGCCCTGAATCTCAAAAGCTAGCGGTTGAAAAAGACATCCATCATCTACAAAATCTTTATACTTGTTAATTTTTTGCTCTTCCGCTTCAGCGGCAGCCGTACCAGGGTTTCGAAGAGACCCGGTAATAATCCTACAAGGAGCTAAGGAGTCTACTACCGTTACATCCCACAAGAGCTGATTACCAACAGCCCATTGAACGAGCGTCAAACCGTCTGGTCTCTTGTGATTGGTCCTGTAGATATGTCGTGGTTCTAAAACAGACGGAATGTGAGTAGAAGATAAACTCTGCTTTATAAGGGCATTCAGGTTTGAATGCCTAGAGAATCTCCCTGAACTTTTGAGGCAAGAGGCATGACAACCTTCCTCGGTAACGTCTTTTCCGCACACGCATTTATGCCGTTCGCATATTTTTGAGCCTAATCGAAGTCCTGTGGCAATTCTGAGTTGTTGGTTCGACATTTTAAACCTTAAAATTTTGAACGGGATGACGTTCAACCATTGGGAGCCAAATCTATCTTGGAACGCGTTGAATCTTTTTAGGTCCGTTGGCTTGAGTCGTAAAATCAAGTCTGCAATTTCGCTGTCAAAAACTGGCTCTGTTCAATGTTTTGGATTTCCTTTTCCGGAGCCATTTCAATTTTTTTAAGTTCAAACCACATTTTAAGCGCATCATCATAGGTTCCATCCACTTGATCCAAACCAAAGTTCTCGCTCTAGGCATTTTTTGCTGCCAGGAGAACTGCTTGTAAAAACTGGTTTTCATCCATTTTCACATTAGTGACCTTGCAAAACGAAATTTCTTAGTAATTTGTTGTAGCTATCCAAAAAATCATTTTGCAAAAAACAAGGACTCGTAAGCAAAAAATAAAGGAGTTTTGGCATGCTAAAGCAATTTTTCAGGAGTTAAAAGCCATAATGGGCGTCTAGTTTGTCAATGACATCCGAGATTTTTTCAAGCGCGTTAATTTTTTTGTCAACAATTCTTTTCGGCAACGTTAGCCGATTGGAGATCCTTAAATGAGGAATTCTTCTTTTGTTTTTATTTTTATTTTTGGGGCGTATTTTTCGAAATTAGGTTAAAATTGAATTATACTGTGTACTCGTAATCGGTCCCAAAAAACAAAGTTCGAACTTCTCAGTGCTCAAGCTCAGGCTGTAAATTTGTTCCAATTTCAGAATGTTTTTAAGGTCCCTGAGTACTACCTCATAGTCGTCGGCTAAATTTCCATTATCTAAATACCAGATAATAATTTTCGACTCCAACTGTTTGACTAATGTCTGAATTGTTTCCATAAAAAGGGTTTGGGCTTCAGGATCACCTTGCTGAGTTCCGTTTTCTGACATTATGACAGAGTTTCCGTAAAAAAGGTAAATAGAATTACAATACGCACAATGGGTGTAATTATACAATTCGGGGCGATTTGAATAGACATGATTCAGCCTTCAGGCATTCTTAAAATCTAGTTTTAAAAGAACATTGCGTTTTGGATTGTGGTCGCGTTCAATAAGGTTTCGAAACGAGTATGCAGCTATTTCTGCTCCTCGTTTGGTACCGCATCCTACCTGTACGTTTCCGAAAAGTTTTTGTCGCTCTGAGAGGGCCTTGCTTCCAGCGCATTTAGACGCGATAAGTCTCAGCGTGTTGCCTGTGGCAATCGGTCTCAACCCTCCGTCTATCTTTATGAGGGTTATAAGCTTTGCGCCGAAAAAGAAAGGTCTTAGGGGTTCGGGTATTTTGCCATCTCCAATGAGGTTTATCAGCTTAGTAAGCGATTTCGGTCCTGCACTGCCATTCGACCTACTAACAAGATCTTTAAAAATTTGAGGAACTATTTTATGAAGACCTGCTGCTGATCCGTTCGGAAAGGACATTATCGCTTTGTATAGGTCAAAATCGGTTAAGAAAAAACTATCTAACTTTTCTGGATTTGGAGCTTCAAAATTGGGCTCGCTGAGGGTGCTTAGACAACATTTTTTGATAGTTATTAGTTGAAAAAGGAGCAAATTTATCATCCGAAGCAGCAAACTTTATTCCTCCTTTTATATTTCCTTCACCGAGCTTAGTACTTATTAGCTTTTTTCTCTGCTCGAGGTCACTCAGAGGCGGGTTTGAAACTTGGGGATGGGGTTTGGAAGTGATACGTCATTTGCTCGAATTTTTTCATTTATCGAAGAGCTCATGCTTGTGATCTGTTTGAGTCCACTTCTTTTCGGTTGCTCCAAAAAAATAAGAACGACGTTAAAAAAATTAGCCATTTGGTAACATCTTCTACATTGTAGACGATGTCATTCAGTCTGTCCGACAGACTTTCCGCCAAGGTAACACGCGAGTCTTTTGGTACTCTCTTGAGTACTCGGACTTTTGAGGTGGCTGTATTAAGATAATTGTCTAGCACTAAATTATTACCTATTTTTGCTTTATAAACAGATTTAATAGCAACGCATAAAGGCACACTGAAACCATTGGGTTTTCTTAGAGTCGCTAAGAGAAATATTTGCCAAACCGATACGATACCAACTAGAACAACAATCACATCCAATCCAATTTATCAGTCCTGGAGGTTTTAAGCAATCTTTGCTTGTACACTCTTTGTTGTTTTTCCCCATCTTGACTCAGCATAAAGGTTAAAAAAAGGATTTTGACTGGACTTTAGGGGACTGAACATTCCATGAGAAGCGGTTAGTGGGAATTTTATAAATCAGCAAATAAAAAAAAAAGACAATTAATATAATTTAAATTTTAAAATCGAATTACAAAAATCAAAAACATGGAACAATCTCACCCGAGCTCAGTAGGTCCAGCGGTGTACCACCAGACTCTTCAAGCCAGTCGCAGTTTCCCACCTCCCCACAGAAAGGCACTTGACAGACCTGTCTCTAAAATCCCTCAGAGGGCGCTCCACAAACAGGCACAAACATCAAACATAACAAATCTGTTTAATAAGATTATTACAACAATTTTTTCATTGTGATGCACTTAATTGCTTAAAATTTGTATTTTGAATTTTTTCTCAAGAATTTTTGCCAGAAACATGATTGCGTAGCAATCAAATAACAGGTTTGTGAATTTGACCACGAAAGCTGAAGGATGGTTATTTGATTATGTTATTTAGTATCCCAGTGGAAACCTAATTTGCAAGAAATTTTTGCTAAAAAGTAAATTTCAAACGTTTGCAAGCAAATTGCAAGCAAATTGCAAGCTAATTTGCAAGCAAATTTGCAACCTCATTTGGGAAACAACAGTTGCAAGCAGTCCGTGACTCTTCATGCTTGAGCTAAATTGTTGTGAGTTTCTGAGTGCGACAAACCTCAAGGTTTGAAATGTTTGTCTTTTTTGAGTATGGATGTTTTGAAAGTCGTAATTATTCCTCTCAGAATAGTTGTAAATTGTTAGAGCACTTTTTTTTCAGAAGCGCAAGTTCTGTACGTCTTTTCCATTCTATAAGCAATTCCTAGATCTTCTTTTGTGATTGGCGGAAGTACTTTTTTTATCTGATTAGGTTTTAAGTTTCTCTCTTTGTACAGATTGTCCATCAATGCGGAATGATTGTCAATTTTTTAGTTGCCCTCAGGAATTGACTCAATCAAGATTTGCATTGGCATTTGTGAGACTCGAAATTGTTCATCTGCCACTGATTTCTTTGAAGACACTGAGCCTGATTCCTTAAGTTTTATCCTTTTCAATTTACCTTTGATCGATCTAGCTTTGTTATGCTTTGTTCTTCACTTTTAATTTACTTTCTAAAGTGTACACAATTTTTTTTTACGTCACACATCGAACGGCATAAGTCAACTTTGATTTTCAGATGTCTTCAAAATTTTCTTGTTATCAAATTTCGATTATAAATTTTTGATTTTGTGCGGGCTCAAATTAAGTTTAAAGTTTTTCCTCATGCTTAAATTCCAAGATACAAAAGTGGGTCAAGCTCCTAAAGAATTCATCTCAGAGGCATCTGTAGGTTATTATTAATTTTTCAAATTTGAGCACTCGAAGATTTCTAAACATGGATGTAGAAAACGCCAACCCAGTTACATCGAGAAATGCGGGCGGCAAAAATAACGGAAAAACAACGGTACGTCAGAATTTTGAAATGTTAAGGTTGCTTGTCTGTTAAGTCTGGCAAATTTAAGTGTTGCAGCACTTTAAAGTTGACTTAATTCGGTTTCAGACAAACAGAGGTCCACGAACTGCTTTCGGGAATATAACAAATGCGACTGTCGCGGCGCAGAGCCTAAATGTCTCCAAAGCAGAAAAAGTCGGCGATGTCGCCAAATTCAGCCATTTCGCTAAAGAGAGTAATCCTCAAAGAAGTCCGGAGCGGTCTGATGAAAGTATGGAGATTGACTGTGAGTAACATGGTCAATAACGGAAGCATATTTTATTTTTCGATTGACTTCGTTAATTTTGACCAAATGTTTCAGCTATCGGAGATTCAGAGATTATATTTACGTTGTCTCTGATTGAAATTGCTTTCCGTGAGCCAGAGTATTGTTCAGATGCATTGACCTACTGGAGAGAAGCAGAGGTTTGTAAATTTTGACGCTATTGATTTTTACTATTTGAACATGTACAGTGAGGCGTTAAATATCAGCGAACAGTCAAATTTGGCTTTTGAACATATGAGATACCAAATCTGAACTGCAGATGAAATAAGCTTTCAAAGTTGATAAAATGAATGCCGGAACTAGATAGATTGGATAAATTGTTTATCTGAACTGCCAGTCTGTGTGATTTTTAACTGGTTAATTACGAAAAGGTTGGACTTATTACGAAAACGAACTGAATGGGTTATACTCGGCTACTTTAAGATTCGATCCTAATTCTGCTTGCAGAGATTGTTCCTGCCGTCGCCCAGGTACTTGCGTCGGCAGAGAGAAATTGACAATGATATGAGATCGACCCTGGTTGACTGGCTTGTCGAGGTAGGGGAGGAGTTCAAATTATGTAACGAGACACTGTATCTATCAGTCGCTTACGTGGACAGATTTTTGTCAGTCATGTCTTGCACGAGAGACAAACTGCAGTTAGCTGGTGTCGCAGCAATGTTCATTGCCTCGTAAGTAAATATACCAAAAAAAACTAGATTTAACAGATGTCATCTTGATCCAAACTTCTAAGTTTGATGTTATTTGAATTGTTTTAAGGTAATCAAGTGTAAAATGATAAGTGATTGTACCTTTTACCAGACCGGTCTTTTACCAGAATAACATGGACCTTTTACCAGACTCAATAAACAAATTTGATTGACAGATGTAATCGCGCCGTTTAGTCTGGTTAAAGACATTGTTTTCACGGTTTCTCAGTGAAGTTTTGTTTGTTCTAACCGCTTCCTCTTCGAATCTTCCAGTAATTTAAATTTATCTTACTAGAATTATTGCATTGTGGTCTTGTAAAAGGTCGGTCTGGTGAAAGACCTAGCCCCATAGGTCGTGATGTTTTTCGCGTTTTAAAAACTGTAGAAAAAATTTGGGATCTACTTAACAACCTCTACCCTTTTCAAGACTGCAGCAAAGGAGGGATTATTAATTAGATCCAAAATTTGCTCGCGCTGGCTGAAATTTGATTTTTATGGCTTGACCTTTGATTTATTTGTTTTTCCTTTAGTTCAATGATTTTTTGTAAATTCAAAGGCTTTAAACCTGATTTAATTGCAAAAAATTCGGATTCAGTTTCTTTTTATTTCATCTGTTGACTAGGTTTGCATTTCGAAACCAAACTAATTGTCTCCATCGCAGAAACGTTTCAAACTAGAAATATTCTAAAATGGGCCAATTGGTTATATTTTGATATTTCCCTGTGTAACCCTAGTAACACAAATTATAGCCCGTAGTTTGCCAATTTTTCAAATTTGACTTAGAGAAGATATGCTTTCAATCATAAGTGCTAAAAAGATATGCTTCAATCATAAGTGAAATCATACAAAATGCCATTATGGCAGCGCTTAAATCCGTATAAAAAATAAATTCGTATAATCCGTGCCGTATTGAAAAACCAGTAAGTTTTTTAAGCTTAGTGCAAGTTTTGAAAAACTTGCTTGTGCAAAATAAAGCACAGTGAAATATCTTTCCTAGAACAATCAACCAAAAAAATTTCGTAATGTTGCATTTTAGCGTGAAAACTTCTAAATGTGTTTTTTTTATTTATTTTTTCGTGTTTATTTGTTCATTTACTCTTCTTTAATTGTCTGTTGGCTATGCTAATTGATTTATCAGGATTATTTACTGGGGGATATTGAATGGGAAATATCGTAATATGATATAAAGCGTTATGTTGAAAGGAAGTTTTCAACTGATTTGCAGGAAATACGAAGAAATTTACCCTCCTACTGCCGTAGAGTTTGTCAACTTGACTGACAATACATACAACGCCAGACAGCTGCTGAGGCTGGAAAAATCAATGTTGAAAGCCTTGAAATTTGAATTATCACAGCCGTCCTCCAATGCCTTCTTGAACCATTTCTTAAAAGAGTATGATGACCTAATTTGCGAAACAGATCCAGAATCTCTGTTGGAACTGGAAAATCTCTCAAAAGTAAGGTCAATATCTGTCAGAATGTGGAATGAATTTTTTAAATGATCGGTTACTATGACAAGTTGGTAATTCTACTTAACAATTCGTCCCTTATTAAAGAGCATCGAGAATATTATAACACTTCGGAATGTAATTTTGACTTTTCAAACGGCCCTGCGCGAGTTACTTCTGATGAATTGCTTTTGAATGAAATAATTTTTTCTCAATTTTGATTTGGGCTGTCCGAAGGTTTCGGCAATTATCTTACGTGTATATTTTTTCCAGTATATCTGTGAGCTGACACTTCTGCAAGGAGAGACTTTCCTGTGCTTCCTGCCATCACAGAAGGCAGCAGCCTCATTGTACGTGGCAGCAGCTGCTCTCAATATGGACAAATGGGTAAGATGTCGTCACAAATCATTTAGTTGCTCGCATGTCATTTTGAAGAGTTTGAACGTAGAGAAGACTCGTAAATAGGTCTTGGTGATTTTTTTTATGATAAAGTTTGCTCACGCTCAGTTTTGATTTTTCGCGGTTTGACTTTTTAAGTTCAGTGCATTTTCATTGTTAAAAGGAAGGCAAACTCCACTATCGAACTGCATAAATATAAAGGTCACGAAAAACGTGATCGACTTCTAATTTCGAAACTGGAAATAAATTATCAGATTTCCCAGCAAAATGAAAGTTTAGCCTATTGATCCAGTTTTCTCAAATTGGGTTAACTTTAGCAAAAAAGTGTCTATCATAAATTGTTCTACAAACTCAATTAAGGCCATCTATGTTTTTCTTCGAAATTTTCAGTTTTCTTGCGTTCATTACTCTTTTCCGGCTGTCAGTTTATGTCTTTTTTTCCCACAAAGGTTCTTGATAATTATGAGCCAATGATAATTTTCTTGTAGATGTTTCGTGTTTTTTGACGTTCTATTATCTTTTGCTTCAGATGGAGAGTGTTCCAAAGAAGTGTGGATTTTCACTGAGGGAACTAGAGAGCTGCATTCGGTACACCCACAAATACTACAGCCTCGCCCCCAAACTCACCTGGACTGCAATTCAGGACAAATACAAGGACGAAAGGTCGGTGTATTTGTATTAATTAAAAAGAAATAAGAATTGCCGGCTGCTGTACAAATTGCTTTCATTCGAAAAAAAGAAGGGCCGGTTGCTATACAAATTGTTTTCATTCAAAAAATTAAAGAATTGTCGGTTGCTGTACAATAGTTTTGAAATTAAAAAAAAATGTTCGTTATCTGTAGAATTCACATAATTTTGGAGTTCTTCAGTAAATTAATCTGTTTTGTTGACTTCATTTAATAAAAATAGAATCAATTTCTCGGTGAAAAATTGCGCATCACTGGCTTAAGGTTTTTGTCACTAAAAAAGTACTTCAAAGATTTTTCTGACAGGTTTTTCTCGGCACAATCTGTTTGATTTAAATGGGCGTTGAACGGGAAAGGATATGCCACTCGATCTCAGCTGGCGTCTCTATTTGTAGTACTTACTAATATAAACAATTATAATCAGTGTATTAAGTTGAAACTTACTTTGAAGCAGAACTTATCAGCCAAATTCTGAATTTTGTTTAGATTCGGTGAAGTTGCTGAGCGTGTCTGCCCTAAGAACATCCCACTCCCTCTGGGAATATGAGGATGCGGCTATTTATTTCCGACTTGTTCTAGACTGGAACTGGTTGTTGGATTACTCGATTTACTAAAGAGTTCAGCTAACAAGAAAAAGGCAGTCAAATGGTGCTATGAGTATGAATTAGGCACACAGAACATACGAAATGAGGCTACTATTATTGCGAACATTCATTATGCAATGTAACTTTTGTAATTTTATACGTATTTTAATGAGTATTTAGGAAATCGTTTTAGACTTGAATTTGAATTTTAAGTTGCTTCAAATGCCACCTTTATTTGTTTGAAATAATTCTTGTGGGCGTGTGTGGACTTTGAGTCAATGTGTTGTGTGTAGAAGCATACCATTTAATGCAATAATCCAACTTGTGATTCCTCGTTTTCAATAGTTTAATTCAGAAGGCTTCAGAAAAAATTAACTACTGATAAGATGAAGAAATAAAGCGATTTCGAAAGATTAGTCGAAAAGTTTCGTTTCATAGCGAAAGTTTCGTTTCATAGCGAGCGTGTCTTATTAGCTATTTCTTGAAAAAACTCAGCATTTAACTGATTCAGATTGAAAATCAGTCCGTTGAGGGGGGATGATTTGTTAACATTCAAAAAATTGTTATGTTTTACTGTTAGTTTTAAAAAAAAAAACACAAATTGCTAACCCTGCCTAGTGATCAATTTTCTCAAATCGCGTTAAAATAATTGAAATGTCTATAACTTGTCCTTGAAGTTCAAAGGGCGTTGTGGCGATTTTTTTCTTAGCAATTGGATCAATTAGATTTTAACTAGAAAACAAGGGAATTTGTTGTTTTGCGTGCATTGACACTTTTCCAACTGTCGGTTTTTGTTTCCTTGGGTTCAATGATTCTTTCCTAAATGGCTGTCTTGCATGAATTGACCCTTTTGCAACTCTGTGTTTGTTCCCTTGCGTTCTATGATTCTCCTTGCGTTCAATGATTCTTCCCTAACTATGCATGTGAGTTTTTGCCCATAAAACTATAGATTGAAGGAACTGTTTTAATGATCAAATTATTGTTCCCACCTTCGACACGGGAGGAAATTCGTCTCCGGGTGTTAAAGTTTGTTTTGAGGTTCCACACAAAATTAGGTACCACAAATAATCATAAGAATGCTCCTAGGTATGTCAAGTTGTAAAACCCTGTCAGTCGTAATTCGAACGACATGAAAAGTTTTGCAGCAAATGTTTTCAACGTTCAGGTCAACCGGTTAACGTTTTGTTTTTTTTTGGTCTAATTTTGCGCAAGTAAAGCGAGCTAAAAAAACGTATTGAAAAAAATTCTCGTTTCAGAAAACAAAAACGTAGTTTTACTCCATGTGAATTAGTTTTGTAAGTTGCATTTGGCGTTTTTTCTTAGCGAAAAAAAATTCTTTATCTGAATAAAAAATTTACGCTAATAATTTAAAAAAAAAATTTTTGACATTTTTTTTCAGTTGTTCATTTTGCTTATTTTCATCTGTCGATTATGCTTAATTAATTAACTCGAGTATTTTGATCAGCTCTAAAACCGCTTTTTATTTGAAACAAATGAACAATAAAACCGAAATGTTTTTAAAAATGGTCGGAACATTCTGTGGTACTTGCTCAGACACCGGTTCTTCTTGTTTTGATTCTCTCATTTTTTAGTATCCCTCATATTTATTGAAATATTTTCACTTGCGAGAGCAAGTGTCTTGTAATTGGGAACAAGACTAGTTTTTCTCGTATACAACTTTTCTTACACATTATTTTCTTACTTCTTTTCTCTTAATTTCTCTAAATATCTTCTTAGCCTAGTGGTAACTCAGTTGACGAATCCTAGACGGACCTTGTTTTTTTCCAGTAACAATAAAATTGAACAATGTTCGAGAAAAATTCAATTGTTCATTCTACTTTCAGAGGGGACTTGAAAGATTAGAAAAGATTCAGTAAATGTTTTTTTTTCTGCTTGAAGATGGTCGGTAAGGATTTTTCATGGTAGTTGGAAATGCAAGTGTTGTTCATTCTAATTTTAAGGGGACTTCTATCGTGACGTCTATCGGGATTGAACTTCTATCGAGACATACGAAGATATAAATTTTGGAAGAACTATTTTCAACTTATTTTTTTTCGACTAATGTTTTTTTATTTGTTGTATCGCAAGTGGTTCGAATCTCCGCTTCGCCCCTGTGTTAGATATTTTCAAGTCTCTATTGATAGCTACTTAAAAAAAATCGATTGTCAAGCGATCGTAGCGCAGATGCCGCCTAGCTTGCCATGATATATATTTTAATGTATCTCAAGCTGAGCGAAGCACTTTTTTGTTAAAAAAGCCCGTTCATTGTGGGGTTTCACATTAATTGATCAAATGGCAGGCCAATAAGGCTTTCCAATAAGCACAAATCAATAAGTGTTAATGGAGGCGAAAATGGGGCTGGAATTATGCTTTCAAAAGCGGACTTAAAGCCCGCTGAGAAACAAAAATAGCGGGGTTTAAATGGTAGCGGGATATTAATTTCAACCAATCAGATTCGAGCGTCATGATCAAGCTTTCAAAATGGCATAAATAATGCTTTTTGGGCCGTATAACTAAAAAGGCCCTCCATCTCAATTGAGTTCAGCCATTTTTTATAAATATATTAAGCCGAATTGCTCAGCGACGAAAAATCTTTTTTTTTTCAAATCCTTGCATTTGTACCTTGTTTCGAATTGGTACCTCGAATGAAAACAAACGTTTAACTGGTTTGTTTCAAGCAAAATCAGATATTTCAATTAATAATCAAAACGGGTCCAGTTATGAAACAGATTATAGCCTGCGCATTCTGAATCCGATTTTCTGGAAAATTTCCCAAACAGTTTACTCACTGGCAAGAAAAGCCGTATTGGAAATTTTTTACATCTCCGTGTAATTATGAGCAAAAAAAAGCGAGTAACATTACGTTTATGAAAAAAAAAAAACGGTTATGTAAGCTATTAAAAACTTTGTTCTACCAAAGATAAGCAAATTGTGGAAGATTTATCGAGCGCTTCCCTGGCCTTGAGAAAATAAAATAAAAAAAAGTTAAAAAAAAATCATTAAAATAAATTTGGATAGTTTTTGTTTTTCGTTAATCATTTTTAAAACAACTGTAAAAAATTCAGGCTTATTCTAATAGTTTGAGCGTTCTTTACGGTCCTCTTGAGTTAGGACCGAAGTGTATAACTCATAGAGTAATTTCGGATAGGGTACACCGTCTGCTCGTCACGCTATCTTATTTTCGGCCGGATAGATTCGTGCAACTTCTTAGTCTAATACCAATCCTTATCTTACTCTTATACTATCTAGTCTCAGGTTGTTTAACTAGTCTCTGCTAGGCTCAATAGATCTAGGGTATACTGGTTTATTGCGGTTGCTGAAGTCTTCTTGGAGAGTCAACTAATTTCTAAGTTAAATTCAAATCTCTCTGGTGCTGAAATTACAAGTAATTTCAGCACTTACAAATAAGTGGATTGTTAGTCAGATGGATCATGATTGGTTAATATTAAATACTTTACATTGGTAAAATATCTAATTTATCCAATCATAAAATGTAGTTTAGATCAGGTTCCACCCATCCGGGTTTTGCAGAGTTTTTTAGAATAGTCTTTCTGTAATTCAAAGGATGGATGATGGACGTTGGTGTTTGGCGAACATCATATTTCTTCTGGGTTCTCTTGTTAGAGAAGTTCCAGGTTCGATCGTTGTGTCATCTCATGACAACGACTGGGTTTTCGCAACAAACTCAAATCTGATTTCAGAATGGTTGGCTATGTCAGGTTTTTCTGTTTCATTGATGAGAACTTCTTTGTGTTTTGATCTTGTCTGGGAATGGCGTGGAGATTGTGCGTGGAGGGGATGCCTGGTTACTCGGATCTGTACGTATACTTGAACATCGAGGTGGTCATTGGTCTAGTTCAATGAAGTCCTTTTCTGCGAAGTCAAGTCGTACTCTAAATCCTTTGAGTTGTGATTGTGGGCGGCATATTGATTGTGGTTGGCCATTCTTTTTCGAGTGTAGTGGGTTCATTTTGTCTTTGGATGTTCGTCTTTGGTGTTGTATGCTGATCTATATATTGCATAATATAATTCACATTTTATAAAACTTTTATTAGTTTAATGTTTTTTAATTATGATTTTGGTTAGTTGTTTTCACAAAAGCTTTTTGTTTTAGTTCAGTTATTTTGAAGAGTTACTCACCCTTGAGTAGCTCTTATTAAAAATAGGAGTGTGGTCACAAAGCGTGGATGTAGCGCGGTGGGTTAGGCCGGCTATAGAGCATGCTCAGGACGTCTTCTTCTGGTGGGTTAGGCCAGGAGTGGGAGTATGATTGCATGCGGTTTTTGTGAGAGGTCCTGTTATGTGACAACGTTTTATGTTGGTTTTGTGTTGTTCTTTCTGATGTTACTTTGGTTGTGTCCCTTTTTCAAAAATCAAACTGTTTTTGGTATGGGTTTGTCTTGCGACTTTTTTGTGTTTTATTACTTCTTTCTTAGACTTTATAATAGTCTTCAAAAGAATAAAGTATCCAGTTTTAAGCTGGATTAATCCGGTTTGGGTACCGTTGGTTTTCTTTTCTTAGTCATGCTGTTATTTTATGATTTGTGGTGTTTAGTAAGCTGCGTTGGTTAGTTTGGTTTAGTATATAATTCCTTTCCAACCGGGTTAAAGGAAAGTTTGAAACTTGTTATCGTGTGTTAGAGTTGTTTATAGTGAAAGCTTGAAACTGAAATTCATTATTTAAACAATTCTTCGTGGGCGAGCTGTGCGAATTTGGATAGAATTCTTGTGCGAGTGAATGAAAATATCAAAAGGTTAGTACTGCATTTGCTTCTTATTAATTTACTACATAGAATTTCAATTTTACTGCTAGTTGTTGGGGAAAATTAAGTTACAAATTTTCATCATTATTAGATTTACTGCATTTGGAAAAAATTTATAAATTAAATTATTGCATTGGTATTATTTTTATTTAATTATTTGGTGCAAAAAATTAATAGAGTTTTAAACAGTTTGAAAAAATTTTTAATTTTCATTTTCTTTTGTGAATTTTTCAGATGATCGTTGGATGAAGGCTAAAATTCTAAAGAAGACATGAATAAAGAATGGTTAGTTTCTAATTTTATTAACTAGTTAATAATATGTATAGTTCATACTTACCTGTTAGTCGTCGGGGAAGAAACCGTGGGGGAAGATGTCGTGGATGAGATCTGAAGTTGTTAGTAATTTAGCTAAGATGCGGATGATATTTTGGTTTGAAGCAGTGGCCAGAGCAATTGAAGTGCTTTAATGGTGGTTAGTTCTTCAGTGCCAACTGCAAACTCATAAGGTGTGTTTTGGATTAGATTATATAATTTGTGATTGAATTTAGTGTTGTGGATGAATTCTAAAATGGGGATTTC